TAAAAAAAAAGCGAACAGATTTTTTTTCCTTTATTTTTAATATCTTTCATTTTTCTCTAAAAGCAAGAATCTTTTTTTTCAGGTGTGCCAATGGCTGACCGGAATCGGCTTAGAACACTATTCGCCCCAATTTTTGGATAACGGCATCAACGGAAGTAACTTGCTACGCTTGGAATCGAGAGAGCTGAAGGCCTTAGGGGTTTATGGCGAGGCTAAGGCCCATCTGAAGCGCAAACTGAAGGAATTAAGGGCGCAGGCCGATCGTGAACGCAAAGAGCGTAAGGAAATCGAGCGAATGCGACGGAAAGCGGAAAAAGCTGCACGGAAAAAGTAGCCCGCGAGTAAATTAGACGCGTTCGGTATTAGTTAGACACCCGGTAGGTTAAATACGGATTTCTTTGGACGCGAAGTGTACAGGGTATCTCGAAAGAGGTAAGGAGGAATTAATACATTGGACTTTATCAAGAGGTTGAGAATATTTATTGAAAAGAAATTAGAAAACAAATTTTCTAAGGAAGATTGAGAAGAGGTTTGCCAAAGAAATATAGGTGAAACTGGAAATGACGCCGTCCATTTCATACAGGGTGTCACCTAGAAAACTATAAAAATTGTTTTTAAAATGGGAATGTCATATATTTATCAATGAAAAATTTTGTATAAACATATCTTCTAAATTGTGCTTTTTTTAACACATGTACAATCTTCTCGAATTTCTTTTCTTTTACTGTATACTTTTAGAGTATTTAATTGGTTCCGGGGGCACACGCGCACGCACACGCACGCGCGCACGCACACACACACACACACACAAAATTAAAATAATTAAAATTACGATTGTATTAAATAATTTATATTTCTTCATAATTGATATATTATATAATTATTTCAAATAATTCTTAATATTATCTTGTGTGAAATAGTATTAAAGCCATATATAGTATTAATTGAAAGAAAATTACTTATGCGTATTAATTATGATTACGTGAATTATTTGAAATAATACGATTAATTAACAAATCTTCATAAAACATCTTAATATTATTTATTACTAGAAATTAACTATAATTGGAAGGATTATTGTTTTAATAATTTATTGCTAACTTTTGATGAATTTTTGAATTAATGTTGATGAAATGAATAGCTATTAATCTTACGATTAATTTTAATTATTATTTTTCAATAATAATTGGAGGCACGTAACTCAAAGTAATTGCTATAATAATCGAATTGTTATCATTTATTTCTAACGCTAGTAACTTAAATCGCACCTCCTCCTTGGGACACCCAGTATGCCCTGGCGTTACCTTCGAGATACTCCGCTTCCGTTCAATCATAATCTGTTTCCTTAAACGAGGCCCATGTATTGCGCCTCTGCATTTACTTGTTGTCGCCATATATTATCGCTATTAAGTATTTTTTTTTTCCTTAGTTATTAATACTATTTAAAAGTGTGTATATGCAAACGTAAGTGCGTGTATGTTGTGTATGAATGCGTGTAAAGACTACAGCAATTTAGCTAAACGGTCGCGTTCTAAATATGCGTATGAGTTAGCGGCTGCTCGATTTTTTGCTTTAATATACGCTGTTCTTTTACCGGAGAAATAAAATCGTGTGCCGCTCTTAATTTTAGATGGGTCGTCTAGAACGTGGAAAATGTGTAATAAAACATCGTGTCATTTAAATACACTTTTGTAATTGTATGTACGTATATATAGTATACATACTTATATAGTGTCACATAAGGATTATTCCGTATTTATTTCTACGATCGCGTTTTACGGCGCTTTTTCCATTAAGGATCGATCTTTCAAGTGGACGTTCATACGTCTCTTTTGTCGTCTTCTTCAATTTTATATAAGCAATGCGTCGTCAATTACTAATTAATTATTAATTACTTGTTAACGGTATGTCTCTGATCAGTTATCATGGACTTTGAAACTGTTGAAAGTTTTTAGTTGAAACTTTTGTAATTGCCAATGTCTAAACAATTTTATTGCTTGTTAAATAATTATGGCATTTTGCATTGTAATTAGAAAGAAATAGATTATTCTGTAAAAGTTTAGGGAGCGAAAATCCAGAGTGCTTAAGAGTACTAAGCGATTTTTATATCCTGTGTACTTTATATCAATAGTAATTAATATACATACAATTTATCAATGAAATATATTGATATTTTTTAATAATAGATATTAAATATTAGCATATATTGTTTAATCAATGTTTTTTTCATTTAAATTGATGTTGAATATAAATTCGAATGTTAAAAATGTTCTAACGTTGAATAATAAGGAATAATGATTCTTATATAAATAATATTTATAATATTAATATGAAAAAATGTAATTTATAGTAGCAATAGACTTGAGAATACTTTTCTCATATCAATACCATATCGTCTTGTTCTCTGCAATTAAGATTCTCTATAATAAATATTTCGTTGCAATAGACCGACTACTGTATCAATTTAGCCGAGAGGAAGGAATGAAATTGATCAGAGACAGCCCATACTTCGCAGCTAATTACTTTGTATAAGAGATATCTCTTCGTAATTTATACTTATTCACTCCAAATTTGCTCAAGGCAATCCTTTCACGCACCGAGTCAGATATTGTGAGACTTGCATTCTCCGCTCCCTTGTGTTTCCCACAGAATCAGTCAAGTGCTCGCGAAATATTCGAGGATAAGTCCTTCAATCGTCGAGCCATACTCGCGATTCAACTCGAATCGAGTCGTTGTAAATTTTGCGACAGATCTAATGACATTCCACATCGGATAAGAATAAAGCCCGAACTGCGATTCCTGCACGAGAGGGGTCCCAAGCTCGCAAGTGGCTGCGAAACGCTCTGTTGAGAAAAGAAAGAGAGAGACGAAGCAGAAAGCCCACATTAGACATGGGAACGAGCGTACTTATTTATAGTAACGTTGAACAATTTTTCGCGCTCCGTTTTGAACATTTTGAAACGCCTCGTCACGAGTAGTCAGAAATGTTGAACTTCGGGGCGTATCGTGTAAATATACATATGTACTGAAATACGATGAATAACGACTGTAACCGGTGAGATAATTAATATGTATATGTGTGTGTGTGTGTGTATGTGTGCATTGCGTGCGTGTGCGAGCCGTGTGAGTCGCGGAGCGACAGGAAGCGATTACAGTGTCATAACGTTACTCCACGAGAGGCATCAACTTTGAATTTTTATGATCATAGATCCTTATAGAAGTCCTCCATTAGTCCGCATTACTTGGCGACCGCGACGCGACACTTGTTGTTTTTGTTGTTACACTCACAACGAATTGCGGGAATGAATCGTCCGTGTTTCTTATAAGAATTGTAATATGGTATCAGTTGCTATCGGTGAAACGTCAGTGGAACGATCCTCCTGCACTTCGATTATCCATAACGAAATCTTTTGCTTTTTTCCCCTCTCCCTTCGAGATACTTCCTCAATTGTACGCTAAGAACTTTTTTTGTTAAATCTTGAGGGGTTTGAGGAATTATCGTAGACGCTCCTTGGATATTTGTGGAATCTAAAGAAATCGGATCTTCTCGTTTTTAGATCTTTGACTTCCTGGAATTTATGATCTTTGTATTTTTAAATATTCAGATATTTTAAACTTATGAAATTTTGGTTTCCTGGAACGGAATATTGTAATTCTGCGTTCTTGAAACCAAATTCTTTTTTTCTGAGTTTGTCAGTCCTTCCAGTCCTTGGAATTTTGTATCTTCAAAACTTAGGATTCTTCAAACTTCGGATCCTTGAATCTCAGAACTATAAATTTGTGGTATTTTAATTTTCATGTAATTTTAAAACCGAATAATTTTAAAATCCTTTATCTTGAAACATCTAAACTCTTGTATTTTAAAATGTTTTAGTTGATCAATTGCTATCCGATTGCTTTAGCCTTTTAAAACAGTTAACAGCTGTTATGATCAGATCGTTGCATCCTTTTTGCTCTTCAATTTTTTGAATCCTCAAGTCCTGGATGTATTTCCGTTCCTTAAGGACCTTTCACAAAACTGACTGAATTATCATAAGTTATATAACCAATTTTCAACGAATCACTTAGCCACGTAAATACGAGAAGCGCCTCACACACGATCTGATTAATCGCAGAAATCCAATAGAGATTTTTAAACGAATTTCATGCCATTTCTTCTTAATTATCACTCAAAATTAAGAACTGCTCAGAATCAGTGACATAAATGAATACAAATTTATATAATTTGGCGAAAAGTAATGACTGAGGCTTTTTTATCAACACTAGTTTTTCGCACGGATTCATATAATTTGTATTTCATTAAATTTACTACGACTCGAGTGGTTTTTTAATTTTGTTAGAGATTTATTTAAACTTGCGTATTTATTGTTAGAGCAATAAATATAATTTAGCATGATTAGTCGCAAGTGGCAAACCTGTTTCATTTTATATTATAAATATCTTAAGTTTCAAAATATATTGATAACATTTTTTTCTCGAAAACGCGTTTCTCGTTATCACGCATTTTTCCTACTCGCTTTTGTCAGATCGCGTGTGATTTGAGTCATGTACACATTTCCATTGATTTGGGATTGTTGTTTACAAGGATGATGATTGAAAGATAGATAAAGATGATCATGTAGGTACATGCGGAACGGCAGCTTTTTAATATGTCTACGAAAAGTATTGTCAAACAAATACTCTTGAACGTTTTAATTAAAGGTAATTCATACAGTACATAAAATTTGACTTTCATTCTTTACGTTTAATGTTTAATTTAATGTTTTAGCTTATCAAATAATTCGACAATTCTTTTGCTTAAAGAATATCCATATTTATGTTACAGATTTATTAAAATCGATCTGTAATATCGTGTGCAATTAGTACAATACGTTCTCTTCGTGATTACTTAGATACGTTTGTTTGATCGATATTTTACACAGCGTTGTAAGGTTTTACTGAATAAGAACAGAAGTTGTACCGATTCAAACAAATTGTTTGCGATAATCTAAACTTGGATTATGGCGATAATTATAAAAGATTATCAATGGCGACAGACGGATAAAAGAATAATAATTTACGTGCCTCTAAAAGGTCGCCCTAAAAACGTGGGTCTGTTTGTTATGGATAATTACATAAAGGTATTCAGAGTATTTCCTAAACACTTAAAATGATGTCTTTAAAGTTAAATGATCAGGATATTTTTTGCCTTTTTCTTTTCCTTAAAGTTAGTCTTTCTCTACATGTCATTTTTAAATTCAATTATTTTTTTTATTATATTAATTGACATTTATTAGATTAATTGACATTTAAAATACAACACTTAACCAAATTTTTCAGAAAAATTTTTTTATTAAAATTATTTTTTACTTTGTAAATAATATTTATATTTAAACATATATCTAATAAATGTAGGAGGACTTAATATTTGAAAATAATCATTTACTTTTAATTGTAATGATTCTTGAAAACAGCATATAATTTTTAATTAAGAAACTTGATATGTCAAAATTACATTTTGTGTGAAAACAATACTCGCAATGATGTAACCAATTTTTATTGAAGATTAGCTTTTCGCCCTTTATTTTGGAATTATTTCTGTGGGAAAATGTACTTGAAGAGGAGAGTGAATGTACTTTGACGGACACCGAAGCTATTTTCTCGTTACAAAAAGCAAGCGTGGCTGTCAATTGGCCGATTCTCAAGGCGGAAAACATTAGTAAAAGTGAAAAATGTCATGCTAGAAATCAAATTTTAGAGAAAGCACAAAAGATTTTGGAAAATCGTGCAAAATGTAAGAAAGGTAAGGATTGTTAATAATGAAAACAGATAAGAAAAATTTACTTTTTTAAACTGTGAATAGAATAATTGATATATGATATATATACACATACATATATGTAATTATATATAATACATAATTTTATGAATCGTTGAATTCATAAAAAAGACTATAAAAGAATAGAACTTTAAAAAATTATAGTTTTGTTTAAAAAATAAAATTGGTACTCGCCACTATCTTACAGAAAAACTTCAAAATCTGCAAAAAGAGGCGGTTAAAATACAAATCAATTTGGATACTGATACATTGAATAAAATAGAAGCCTTGAGAGACAGCCATCGGAAAGTTGCGATGCAGGATTTTGAAGATTGGCGATTAAATGCGGAAATGCCGTTCCTTCAGGATATTTCCGGCAAAGTGCAAGAGAATAGAAAGGCGTATAGGTATTATTTTAAAGAGAAATATGAAAATTTTTTAGAATATTGTAATTATTAAAGATACCTTGGGAAGAAGATAATAAAAGAAAAGTAGTTTTGAAAAAGTACAATTCTGTAGAAATTAGCTATTTTATATTTAATCGACATATTTTTCTGAAAGGCCTCCACTTCAATGGTTCAAAGATGATCTTGGTATCATACAATCTCGAGAAACTGATAAGAAAGAAGTAGAAGAAAAACAACAAGATAAATCAATAGTTATAGAAGAATTAAAGGAAGAACTAATTGTTGAAAATAAATCGGAGGAAGGTGATAAGAAAGAAGTAGAAGAAAAACAACAAAATAAATCAATAGTTATAGAAGAATTAGAGGAAGAACTAATTGTTGAAAATAAGTCGGAGGAAGATTTAACCGTTGAAGAAAACATAAACAAAGACTTAATTGTTAACGAATCAATAGATCAAATGAATTCAAAAGAAGATACAACCCTCAATGAAAATACCGGAAAAAAAGCAGATGTAGAAATAACGGAGACAACAAATGTGAGCAAAGATTTTAATTTTGCAGAATGTTCTAGTTATTCCGAGGATTCCGAATCAGATGAAGAGATCACATCCTCTAAATCTTTGACAAATTCTTTAGTTAAGAAAATAAATCAGAAACCCTCGCAAAAGTTTTGTACGAAGACGAAGAAACAAGGATCAGGTCGGGATTTAATTGACAGGATACTGGAGTGTCGATATCCCAAAATAAATCAAATATTCGATGAACCTACGAAGGCAGTTCCACTCCCCAGAAGGAGTGGAACAATCAAAGTAACTTTTTCCGAACGAGCCTTTCCTACTCCTGCAAGAGAGAGTTCCTTCATTGAAGAACAGGAAGTATGTATCTTTAATGTAAACTTTACGATAAATTTCTTCTTACTAAGAATCTTATGGAAGTTAATTATTTTTTTACGAGAGAAAAGAGTACTTGATAAAAACTTGTTAGAAATTTATTTTATCTTAGAAGGAACTCGATGAGAAATTAATTTCTTTTTAGCAACAGTTTAAATTTGAAGTTTTAATTTAATTATGTACAATTTTTACTATAGATATATGTTTCAAATGCAGTTTGTTTTTAGTGGCTCTCCAAGCAAGCAGAAGCCAGAAGAAAAACAGGGTTCGTTGCCGAGGACCTTCGTCCTGAAGAACAGGATCCACAATGGCTAAAAGACAAGGGCGAGTACGTTGACAGTGCGTTTTATCGCATATTTTCTAATTCTTAAATTAAATTTTATTTAATCATTTTGTTTTAGTGATTTCTTCAAAGCGGGGAATTATTTAGCTGCCATCAGTGCATATACACATGGAATTAAAATCAGCGACAAGATGGCGGCACTTTATGTGAACAGATCTGCTGCACATTACGCTCTTGGAAATTATTACAGATGTATTGATGATTGTTCTAAGGTAATTAATTAAAAAATGAAAATTATAATCAATATATTATACAGAACATTTTTCTAAGTTTAAAAAAAATTTAAACGGTTGTAAAGAATAGAGAAAAACATGAAAATGTTATAATAAAATAATAAATTAAATAATTAATATTCAAAATAATCAAAATAAATAAAAATATTCAAAATAAATAAAATGGAAATAGATTTAAATTAAAAATAGAAAATATGATATAAAGATTATTTATACATTATATAAATTGAAAATATAATTTTAGAAGATGAAGAACATAAATAGAAAAGCTTCTATCTCTAAATATTTAATCTTTAATTATGAAATATATGGAACATTATAGTTGTTAATGAGACTTTTTTTATAGGTATTGGAGTTAATGGAACCAAAATGTGAAAGCAATAGAGTATCGCGAGCAAGGTGTCACGCTCGTCGAGGTGCTGCGCTTTGCAAATTATCTGCACCACAGCATGGAATCTCTGAATTAGAAGCTGCCTTGAAGCTAGATCCGAATAACAAGAGCATTCAACATGATCTATATGCTGTTAAACAATATTTTAATATAAAGGAATGAAAAAAGGGATGACTGATGGGATTAATTTTCTAAAAATTTTACTCCTGTAGAAATTTTAGGAATATTTCAACTTATTGAAACTTATTTTATTTATTTGTGTCGTATTAATAAGTTGATTGAATGTATATAAGATGCATACACAAGTAATTAAAATATAATAAGATATATAAAATACTTATTTAAAGTGCACATAAAAATTACTTCTCTTATATTTATCATATTATTGATGTCTTCTACCGAGCATTAAGTTTGTTTTAATTTTATGTTTATTTTAAAAAATATAAAATATGAAACAACAAAAATATCGTCAACACAAAGTTTTTATTTTTTAAATTCTGTATTCTTGATTTTGAATATGTTTGCTTATTTTTACTTTCATATACTTTTAACATTCAAATATAACGTTTGTTAAGATTTGTGATAAATGCATGCATATATAAATATGATAGAAACTATAGTTTGCTAGTAAAATCTAACGTAATTTAATATAATTAATCTTAGATTTATATATATAATTTTAAGATGAAAAATTAAGTTAAATTGTTAAGATAAACGAACTTCTTGGTACATTCTAAAATTGCTACAAGAGCCGTGTTTGACAGATGCAATGCTTGTATTGCTGCAAGAGGTGCACATTTCGAACAAAATCTTCATTAAAAAGTTTATAAATAAAATAATTAAAATAATAAATTAAATATATTTTTTTCTTTTTTCGTGATTTCCTGCGAAACAAAGCAAAAAGGAGCATATGTCTATAGGACTTTTTTTCTTAGTTTTTTACTCCTCTACACGCTCCCGAAGTTTTGCCATTTAATTTGGAAACACCCTGTATATATATATATACACACATAGTTATTTTAGATTTTCTAGTAAAATAAGTAGAAATTAATAATAAAGTTTTAACAAAATTCTAATCGTCGGAATGAAATTATCATTATTTTAATTATTTATCTAGGGACATTGTGTCTTTAAAATTATTTTCTTTGTTTAAAACCTGGATTTTTTCATAGCTAGAATTTTATCCATGCAAGCACATTTAGTATGCTCCACAGCATGGATGACTTCATGATGACGATCTCGTTGTTGATCGATGCGATGCCTGACCATGAAGACGAGGGTGACATTTCTGGTTTCGATGGGAGCACAGATCTGTTTGGAATCAGGGCAGCATCCTGATCCAGCGCAACGTGTCAGAACCGTGGACGCGGGATAAAAAGCTTCGTCAGGCCCGAGGCCCACGGTCAAGAGATCCTCTACTGCAATCGCCCTTGGTTGGGGCAACAGACATTGAAATTGGTGCACCAGTTGAACGTGGCTCAAAAAATCACTGTCCCTGTATTAAATAAGAAGAATCCCAATTACACAATATTTAAAAAACGGGTTTTAAACGTTTATTTACATTAAATTTTTACATTAAATAAATATTTAAAAAATATTTTTTAAATGTTGTATGCTGATTGGGATGTAACTACAGAAATATGTACGTGACTACAAAAATGTAGACACGAAAAGAAAAGGCAGATAATAAAATAAAAACGAAGAGAAAACCGATGAAAACCAAATATTAAGAAGTAAAGAACGAAGAAAGGAAGAAAAATTAATATAAAATAAAAATAAATCGCAAAAGAAAGTAATAAGTGATAGCTTTATTGTTAAAGAAATTGAAAAATTTGACTACATTATTCTCTCACCTGTGATGCCTACCAACAGCAGTTAATGCAAGCTGAACACAGATTACTAACAACAAAAGTTTCGTCATCTTCGAAATGTGACTCTCAAAGTGAGTTTTCACAATTTGTCACTGCAGTATATTGTTTAGTAATAGTAAATTAGTTAATTTTGACTATTATTTCAGTTAAATTCAGTAATTACTGTAATATATTTCTAAAGCAAAGTACACTTTTTTAAAATTGATCAACAACGTTGCTCAATAAAATTAAGTCTTGAATAGCAATTATAATATTTCCCAAAGGTGCTTCAATTTAATTCATCGATTATATTCTCTTTCAAGGAAACCGCTGTAATAATTTTATTAGCAAAACAATCTTGTTTAAATTTAACTAGAATACTGGAGCTTCAGATGTTAGAAATCCTTGACCTCTAAGGTTTTTAAATTTTTTTCCACTCTAAATTGAACGGTGAAACAAGTAAATTAAAACATTCAAGAAAGTAAAAGACTCAGATTTTCTTCAAATCAAAAAGAGACTCAATTCTTTCAGTTATTTCCAAATCAATCACTAATTAATCTTCGCACTTCCTTTGATTTCTTCTTAAAAGAAGAAGCCAACTTCGCGAATTTTATTCCCAGAAGTATTTCTTCTTTTCTTTAGAAATATTTAATTAATCATTCCGATAAATTTTTTAAATATACAATCGATTTTTTTCCAAAGGCCAACTTCCTTCGATCTATTCTTTGATCTTCACGATTGGCATCGAAGAAGCCCACTGCAACTACCTCCAAGCTCTGCGATCAGAAATCTTTCATTCTGTGTATATATGTAACTGTTATCCAGTTTTTCCCTCACTTCATCCTTCCTTCTTCGATTTCTTCTCTCTCGTTGCCACTTGCTCTTCAATTTCTCTTCGCAGAGAGGTCTTCCTACGGATTCCCGGTAAGAGAATAAGATTTGAGGAGGGATCAATCTAACCGTTCCGAGAAACTCTTCGAAATGACCGTAATTACTAAGAGTACTTCGCGTGACTTTTCTCCTTCTCGCTTCATTTCCTTCATCTTCTGCATTCTTCTTCCTGTTTTCTTTTCTCTTTATCTGATCACCTGGTTTGGGATGCAGAAATCCGAGAAGTACAGTGAAGATCGAGTCATATTTTTAAAGTTAAAGCTGATCAAAAATTTTGATCATAAGTTTTAAGATTTGACATTGTAATATTCACAATCTTGAAACCGTGTCATTATAAATTTTACAGTGTATTTATAATGTAATGTATTAAATGAGACTAAAATTTCAATAATTAAATTGTTACTATAAAAAGTACATATAAATTTTTACATTGAATTTAAATTAAATTTTCCAATTTCAAATTCTTTATGCTGCATAGTTAAAATCTGATTAATTTTTTAAGCAACTATTTTTTAGGAAATTTTTTAATCTTTGAGAAAAATTTCTTAAAAAAATGAATCTAATATATTATAATACATTAGAAACTATAATATAATATATAGAAACTGTAATAAAATGTGAAAAAATAAACACGAAAATAATTTTTTATCTATATAAAAAATAATTTTTATTTATTTTTATAATGGAGGCAATAAAAAGGAATCTACGCTGCTATTAATACACGATTTAAGCACAAGGAGCGACCACTGCAAAAATATTGTTTATTTCTATGAAGAGGAATCACCTTCTATAACAGTTATTAGCATTGCGGCTCATGCTAAGATATGATCTATTGCAGTAATACATAAGCGTCTACGTCGTGTCTAGTCGAGTATTCTAAGCCGCATTCTAAAGACCTCTTTCTTTATTTCCGTAAGACACGCGAATTCCCCGTCGTTTAGTAGATCGATGAATAAGAAAAAAACTATATAGACAGACCTCGGGTAAATAATTATAGTATTTGTAACGATAATTAATTTATCATTATACACAAACCAATATTGTATACAAACCAGCTGCTTTGAAAAGTTTGGAAATGCGCAAAATAAATATATGAATATGAAGATAAATAAATATTTAATGCAAATAAATAATAAACATAAATAATTGAATTTTTTATTATTTAAATATTAATAATTTAAATAATTGTTAAAAATGTAAAAAATATATTTCTTAAATGCTCTCTCATTTTTTAATTTTAGAATATAATATTAATACATGTACATTCTAAAATTTATAAATAGCGTATTTTTATATGAATTATAATCGCGCGATTTTTTATTCATCTGATATAAATAACTTAATTATGTTTACATATATGTAAAATATGAAATTAAATTAAAATGTGTAAATTGTTTTAACAAGATGGGTTATTTGTCATCGTGCACATTCAGTTTGAGGAAATAAATTAAAATTCCTTACATAGGTTGGACGAGAGTGGGTCATGGAAAGTTATAACGAAATTCGCACTGTTTTGGCAGTCATGTATTTCAAAGATTGAGTCATCATCAAGTGATTCATAGTATAAAAATTTAATATAATATCTACAATATAAATCGATATGTTCCTTTTTTTAGATTAAACTCATCGCGCGCGGTATTAAAGTATATCACAGATAAATTGCAATTAGCAACATTTTTAAGATATTTCTAAAAAAATAGAGGCACAGCCATTTTAAATGGCTTCTGATGCGCTAATTTCCGAATCTGTATATAACATTTTTTTTCCGAGATTAGAAAAAAGAAGATAAATGAAAAAATTTGAAATTAAAACAAAAAAACAATGAAGTCAAAATACGCGTTATACAAGAACAATTATCTTCGTTAATCCCATACAGCACAGAATTTGCAAAGCAATATCGCTGCAAAATCTCTACAATATTGCAGCAGTGTTGCTGCAACTTTTGTACAACTTTGTGCTGTAGAGGTAATGATAGTCATCGTTAATGATAATTATCAATTAAATCTAGGAGTCATCTTTACTGTAGAAAAATAGGGGCTCTTAGAACGTAGATTAATCATTTTGTGTAATTATAAACTAGGCCGTATCACGTTTTATTTCTGGAATGGGAATCTGGTCAATGAGTTGCATAAGCCAGGAAGGAAGTTCCTCCGCGATGAGTATTCGATAGTACTCGAATAACTACGTTGGCAATACGTCATTCTTACGTATAATAATGAGTGACTTGGCAGTTATTTATTAGTAGTTACTTGAAACAATTTAAGACTAAAGAAGCATTCAAGAGCAGCAAACTATTTATTTGTAATATTAATAATTAACATCCGATGTGTATTTTTATATCTAAGTATTTAGTGACAAATGATCAAAAAATTATTTGAAAATTTATAATTAAAATACCTTTTATAAGAGCGCGTATGTTAATATACATCTAGATAAGAGCACGTTGTGAATGACGTCAGCAATAAGGGAACTCCCGATGAAGGAAAGAAAATTCTTCGGCTAGGTGTTCCCACCTGCGTCACACCTCACGATAAACGGCTTCATCATATTTCAACCTTTTGTAACAAGTGCAAAATTATCAAACATTGACAAAATTATTTTATGCTCTTGATCTGTATTATAATTAACTTGGGTAAAAAAAAAAAAATTAATTCTCTTAGACTTTTATACATTATTTAATATGTATGTTTATTGCTCAGTTTATACATATGATAACATTATGAACAAATTTATCAATATTTAAAACATTAATTGATTATGAATATAGTAGCTTTCTAACAAAAAAAATTGATCTGAAAAAATATATAGATTAATGTATTAATTTAACATATTAAAATAAAATATACATTGAATCTTGAATATACGTATATAAAATAGATACATTTCTCCAATTTTTTAATTATTATCACTCGTTTATAAAAAAGGTATAAAAAATCATGTCCCAAAGTTACATAACGAAATCATGTAATTAAAATATGTAAATCAGGTAACGATTTATTCCAAATCAGTATGTGATCTTTTAAAATCGCATAATTTGAAAAATTACACGATGATTTTTTTTCTTCTGTTTTTATCATTTAATTATTTAAAATTCGACAATAAAGTCATGTGATAGATGAAATTATTTCTAATATCATGAGATTTTTTCAAATTATGTGACTTAAAAAATTCACGTACTGATTTGGAACAATCCGTCATGTGATTTACTGATTATTTTAATTACATGATTTCGTTATGTAACTTTGTGACGTGTTTTTTTCAATAGGGTATTAATAAATAATAAATCATAAATTGTTTTTATTGTCATATGGTACTAATAATATATACAGATAATATTTTCTTCAATTATACACGTACGTGTATAAAAATAACTAATTACATGATCGATGCTGTGAACATATACGGTTTGGCACGTGGCCATATAAATTTCTGATAAAGTGGCGCCTGTGCAATAAGAAATTCCGATTGCGGGCGTCCGCCACGCCGCATATATAATTAATTCTAGAAAAACTTAACTACGATGACGAAATATTAGATTTACTGGAAGTACATTTGTTCCGGCTGAATCATCTATCTCAGATTAGTTCCTGAGAAGAAGAAAGCGGAAAAGGAACAAATTTATTCTATTCTAAAATAAATTCTAAGAAATCTCATCCTGAGCAGAAAATAACTTAAACTTGATTTTTTAACGTATGAAATATAATATATTGTAAAAAGAAAATAACGTTCATCAAATTGCATAGATTTATAAGAAATGTAACTTATAATTAGAATTAATAACACAATGCAAATTGCATATTTAATATATTCACTTCCCACACAGCACAGAATTTGTAGCAACATCGCTGCAAAATCTTTGCAATATTCATGCTGCGATGTTACAGCGGTGTTGCTGCAACTTTTGTGCAACTTTGTGCTGTAGAGTTATGTAATTTAACATAATATAAACATAATATATTAACATAAAATACATTAAACAGGAAGTACACGTATAATATTTATTTATTACTGCAATTCAGACCTTGACAGAATCTAACGAATCTGACGAAGTGTTGCAAAAGACTATTTAATTGCATATGATAGTCCATAGTTGATTTACATAAAAAAGCCTTTAAAATGCAAATGTATCGCAGATATTGCATCGTTACTGAGAAAACAAACATGATTAATATACGTATATTAATTTAATCTTTTTGCATTTGGTTATTCACCTGTCAAGATAACGCACTTGGTAGTTATCTTCTCTGGGTTTCCTCGAGGATTTTTATTTTTCTCGTAGAACAAGTTAGCGCGTAACTCTAATCTGGGGAGAAGAATCACGTACAAATAATGTAAATACTTGTTACATCAATAGATATTAGACAAGAGGAACTAAAAAGAAAAAAAAATGTTGAAAATTTTTAAGTTTCACTGAATGATAGTAAAATTTGCAATTTTTCCAATTTAAAAAAGGTATAATACTATCACTAAAAAATTCAAAATTTAAGGAATGGTGTTTACTGTTTACTCTTCTAGCATTATAATAACAATAAGACTTCCGCGAAAACAAGTAGATTTATTTTTTCCGTGTGAAAGGAAGAAAAGAGCATTGTATGGTTCGTGGAAGTTAGCAAAGCAACCGAAATATTCGAAGTAATCATCATTCGCAAGATGATTTCGCCGTCGTTATTAGAAGCCGCGAAAGATGACTTTTAAAGTTACAATCCGCGCAGTAGTTGTCCAAACAAATAACGCACGAATATTCCAAATTATTCGCTAATTAATTTACTATGAAGAAAAGAAATCGAACTTTTGACTCATTATTTGATTCATCAGTTATAAAATTATTTATTTTTAATTTTTATATTGTATCATCGAATGTTGTATCACAGACTATATTTTTATGACCGTTTTATTATTTATTATTATTAAAATAAACATTGAAATTAATGTGTTTATATCTTTTTTCCTTTTATTTAATAAAATTGTTAATTCATATATCGTTTCCTTTTATTACTTATTTATACCATAATTACATTTTAAAATAATCATCTGAGCATTAATATCAAAATCATACGTGGATCAATAAAGTTCAAATCCATATCTTAAACTCAAAGTAGAAATTCTTTTCAATAGATTTTCAGAATAAATTTTTTCTCTGGTAAAAATGTCACTAAGTGTCATTATTTTTAAATTACAAACAATATAAGCAATTAAAATCGAATATTTTTCCACAAACTAAATTTCGAAAAGTTAATGAACAATAAAATTATATTCTTGAATAAATTTTAAACGAACTTTATGTGTTATAAGAAAAATTTCTGAAATATAATTCAAGATGAACTTAAAAAAAAAATGGGAAAGTTGCAATAAACGCAGCCTTCCTTAAGATTTTTTCGAACAAATTTTTTCTATGTAAAAATTAATTCTGAAAGTTGTAACTAAGTAATTTATTATTAAAAACATTTAATAATAAATTTAATCGGAAATATCGATATAAAAATATTAATTCTAGATATCAATACATTATTGTTATTTTATTTCCTTAAATTTTGTCCTTACATTATTCATTATATTTACATTCATTGTTATCAATATGCTTGACAGATTCATTACCAGCTGTGACAATTATTATTCAAAGTGCAAAGGGTTAAACAGCAATGGCTGCACACTCGCCCGTGAGTTGCACAATAAAGCGGAATCATCGCGGAAGGCACGCGCGATCTGGACTTTACGCGTGTTCTTGCGTGAGGCATGCGTGCAAGCTCTTCCATATATAAATACTCGTGTGTCAGTGGGAAAATCTCAGTTGGCCGATCTCACTTGGTGCCTGTGTAGCTCTTCTCTCATCCAGCTACCACTGTTCAAAAGTTCACCACGTGATTTTCTTGCTTCTCGAAAGGAACGAAGTTTCGAAAGTAGGAACGAAAGAAGAGAAGATATTTCACCTTTCAAGGAAATCCGTCAAGTTTATTGTGCTAGCATCCTTTTTCTTTGGGAAAGAAGCACGAAGATAAATATTTATAAAACAAAGAAAATCCAAAAAGATAGATCAATAAAGCAAAGAAAAATCCAAGAACAAGAATCTCTTCGGTTTCTGAAAGCGTGGTGATGGATGATTTTGTTCTTAAAAAGACGCAGCAAGAAGAATTTTTTATCCATCCTGCGTTCTTGATATCTTCAGTTTAATCTAGTGTAATTCTTGAGCGAAAGAATCAATGGGACCAAGACCTTGCAAGTTCAGTAATCAATAACGATCAATTTGTTGACGCCAGGGATCACAGATCAATTCAGCAATCAAGTACGATTGACCTTCTCAGTAAAAAATCCAAGTTTTGAGTTCACTTTTCGACTAGCTAACCAGTTAGGACCAATGATGAAAGGCAGACCGAGGGGATCGCTTTTAAGACTCTTGATTCTCATCCTGACGACGGTGGATCAGATGATGGTAGTCTTGACGGCTCATCACGGTGGTCATCATCATCGAGTCTCGAGGAGGATCCATCTGCCACGTGCGGTGGAGGCTACCAAGAAGTTTCTTTGCAGAGAGCCCCAATCGAGAGCTTACAATCTGAGGGATCTGGTGCACAGTATGCAACCAAGCGAGAGCGTGAATCAGCCGGTGTACATTGTGGTGAAGAAGTGCGATAACCACTCGGGCTGCTGCGTTAGCCCCGACCTCAGCTGCGCGCCGGTGCCGTCGTCGATCTATCACGAGGACATGGAGATTGAGGTCTGGAGCTTGCTGACGAATAGCACGAGGAGGGTGTGGATCAGGATCGAGCAGCACGGCAGATGCAGCTGCGAGATCAGTAGTGCTAGTGAGAGACTTAAAGAGGACACTCGGCCACCTAGTATACAGATTCTTTGATCCTTGAAGTTCCTTGGATCCTAGATTCAGCACTGAAGCAGAGAACTGCAAGTAGATCGATCAGCGGTTGGCTGATTACCCTGCATTTCGATCGACAATTCTGTGCTGGAAGAAGAATAACGTGAAGTGTCAATTGAAGTTGGTTACTCAAGACTGGGATTAATTTTTTAAGATTTCTATTTGTACACACTTTAATTTTTTAAGGTTTCCTTAAAATTGCGTGTCGCGGTAGAACGGAGACTAGAGATGCAACAGCACTGACATGTTCGCCAAGAATTTTTAATATACAGTGCAATATTATAAGAAAAATATGAATGATATAAAGTGTTGATAAATGTCGATTGTAGCTGAGACTGAGGACAGTTTTTATAGTTAATGTTCGACCTGTCTATTCCGTTTACGGCTACATGATGGTGGAAGACAAGAAGCGATAAAGTGAAATTAGTTAGCAGACACTATATGGACTTTGATACTCCAAATTAGCTTAATTAACAAATCTAATTAAGAAATTAAGAACTAATAGAAAATACAAAGAAAGTCGCTCAATAAGTGATTGTGATTGTGAAGAATTATGTCATGAAGCATACTTTGAATGCAAAAATCATTATTTGGATGAGCGAGAAAAAGGAAACGAACCGAATAGGTAAATTTAAGAATTTAAAGATTCAATTTCGGTGACTATTTTTTCGAAAAAAACTTTCATCCTTCAAAATCGACGAAGATATATGTTTTATATATAAATATCTCACACAAACATCTATTTTTATCGAGGACATCTATCCCATGGTGATATCTTTTAATGTTAACGTATTTATTAGACTTCAAATCGTGCCAAACTTCTTTTTTATGCAATTTAGTGTGATAAAATAAATGTAAGAGGATTAGGATATCCCGTCGGATATCCAAAAACATAGAGCCTTTTAATACGACACACGTTACATTTCTTTCTGAATACAAACATCCAGGATGTTCTATCGTAAGTGATTACACACGAAGTGAAGCTTAGCGACGATTATTGTATTTTTAGCTGCCTCACAAATTGTGATCGTGAACAGTTTAGAGACACTTAGGACTACTTTTAATCGACATTGTGATAAAAAGATCATATCAATTTATAGCGATAATACCAAGTTTCAAAGTGAGATGTATGTCGGTTCCAATCGTTCCAACTACTCCTTTCGTGCATTCGCATTCGCGTTTTCAACGTGAATCTTTATATGAAAATAATAACGTCGCGAAGCTAACAGCCGCGTTAAATATAACTTCGCTATATATTTGCTAAATGCGATACTGTTCGTGCAGAGTTTACATTAGTTAAACAAAGTTCAGACGCGGCGGAAATAACTGCGTTTGTATGTAAATAGCTTTATACAAGGAGCGCGTGCCGCAAAATTATAGTACTTCAAAAATCAAAAATAAGAAAGACTTTTTCGCGCCATAAGTGATTTTTTACAAGTTTAACTTCTGTAAATAGGCAATGAATTTTTTAATACTTATTTTATCTCAAATAGATTTATACATTAAATAAGTAAAATGAAGTAATCGCGACTGTCATATAAGACGTAAAAAGGAACGTTTCATAGTTTAGTCCACAACACAGTATTTTGACAGTTTTAAATTTAACGCAATTTTAGAAAGTAACCATTTATTCGTATTATAATTAATTTATTTATTGTAATAGATTTTTTAACGTAATAGTAAAATAATAAGAGAAAATCGCGATCGATGTAAAATCGGCGAAAGGGTTCAACAGTATTCCTGTAGCATCTAATTAGTAACTAATGAACTCGAATATTATTTAATTTTTGTATTAATTAATTTTTATATATCAACTAATTTATGAAAGGCAAAACAATGAAAAAACGTTTATATAAAATAAATTGGCTATTTTTATACTAACTCATGTATAAATTTCTTTCTATATATGCATATTTGTTACCTTTATCCTTAATCTTTTTATTTCAGATTAAATAATTTCGACTGTTTTTCATTGAATTTTCTCAGACTTCCGTTCAATATTATTTTCGTAATAAGAAGCAATTCAATGATTTTTCATTTTAAAGTTTCCAAAAAAAGAAACAAGTAAAACTTCTTATGAAACATAAAATTCGAAAAATTATAATAACATTTACATTACAAAATTATTATAAATATCAAAGTTAATTATTTAAACTTGAGAAAAATCGATAAGTTTATTAATTTTTCTTTCCATTTTCGAGAAGCTGACGTTAATTTTCACGATAGTCATTTCGTTATTAACTGTATCGCTTATTCGCCTGTCTACGAAAGACAGAAATAGCGAAACAATACGTATTCTCGATTTAGCGCGCAGACGTGTGAAAAGAATTGGACTGACGCCCAAATGAGAGCCGGCGGCGCCGTTCAACGCCAACGCTCACAGACACTTGTTCTAAAGTCAATCTTGGAAAAAAATATCGTTAATTTGCGTACATTAAATAAAACTCGAATCGCGTACAAGTATTGTGTACAAATTATATATATTGTTTATTGAATGCATTTAATTTTTTACTGCTTACTTTAAAAACGGTCTTTGGAGTCTTCGACTAAAATGAATTTCAAAATGAATAAATCCAACTCGGAAAAAAAAAGAAATCTAACTTCATTTTTTTAAATCTAAAATTTATTACTTTCTTATAGTATTTTTAAAGTGACAAAATTATTACAAAATCCTTTTCAACCCTCTCTCTTAAATCTTTATTTAAAAAAAATCTTTTTCAATGTTTCTTAGAATCTATTGAGAACAAATATGAAAAATATGATACTTTTTTTTAAAACGATTAGGAACGTTAAAACATTTATTACATAAATGAATGAATCAGTTTACTGATGTTTATCTCTTGCTTATGTTTAACATAATTATGTTCGATAATATAAACTACATAGAATGTCTGACGAATATAAGACGTACACTAGGCAGAGAAGATGCTGTGATATTACGAGTATCGGGCATAAGGATATTTCGAGCGCATTCGTCGGCCACGCGTCCCTCGTCCTCGTCCCCCTTCATTGGCGGCTCCTCTAGCCGCATGTCCTCGCATCACAGGTTGTCCTTTAAAAATTGAAATGTCTCATGTTAACATTTATACATAAAGCTTTTACGAACAAAGTATTTTGGATATAAAAAATTGACTAAATCAGAGAGAGAGAGAGAGAGAGAGAGAGAGAGAGAGAGAGAGAGAAGCGAGCGAGCAAGCGAGAGGGAGAGGGAGAGCGACAGCGAGAGAGAGAGAGAGGGAGGGAGGGAGGGGGGAGATACGCTAAGCCAAACTTTTTAAAATAATAGTTAAAAATCAAATCAGTATATGCAAAGCAAAACAGGTTGAAGGCCAAGAAACGAGTAAATTAAAAAATGTCAAAATATATATATATATATAAGTATTAATATATATAATATTTAATATAATTTAATATATGTATATATAAAATAATTGAGAAATAAATCATTCATCTTTTAGATAAAGAATGAAAAAAAAAACTCACATTATTAAGGTAAAAAGATAATGTAATGAAAGAAAAGATCTTATCTCAAAATAGAAGGATAAAATCTTATTTAATCGTGCTTCGTTTCTCACCTCTACCCGACTGAGTTTCTCCCCACACAATCGGTGTAGGCCTCGCACCTCTTGCCACCCTCGGCGAGAAGGGTGATCTCGGCGATCTTCTCACTGTCATTCCTCTGGCATTATTGGCCTCACTCGCGGCCGCCAGACTCGCTGCCATTGTTCTTTGTCGTGTGTTACTAGACGGCGATGCTTCCGCTTCTCGATTCTCTTCCTCGACTTCTTCTTCGACAAGTTCGCTTCCTGCCTCTTCTGTCGCTTCTGCCGTGTCCACGGCATCGTCTTCTCCAGATGCTAAAACTACTGGTTCTTCTTCCCGCTTTTCACCCTCCGAGCTCACTCCTGCGAAAATAAAAACGATAGAATCACGTACTCATTCTCTCTCTCTCTCTCTCTCTCTCTCTCTCTCTCTCTCTCTCTCATAGAAACTAAATTTTTTAAAAATAATATTTAAAATAATATTTAAAAATCTCAAGTGTATGCAAAGCAAAATAGGAAAGTAAAAGATCAAAAAAGAGCAAGTCAAAAGGTGTTCGAATAAATCAATTTAATATTAATAACAGTCAAATGAGAGAGAGAGAGAGAGAGAGAGAGAGAGAAAGGAGGAAGGGAGGGAGGGAAGGAGAGGATGTTTTAAACTTTTGAATATGATTAGATTTCAATGAGATACCTTCACTTGGAGTTGCGCTAGATTCTGTAGCTTCAGTGGAACCTCGTTGTTGATCATCAACACTAACAATATGAATGCTGGGAATGTTAGAGTCTTCAATATTATCTCCAGAAGTGGCCGTTACGGTAACATGTGTCACGGTGCTCTCTTGTTCTTCAGATTGGCTGCTACTAGTCTGTTGCAATGAGAATTGTGAAAGGGAAACATTAGTATCAATAGTCTTGATGTTTAATGTTTTTATAAGAAATTATAATAAAAAACAGAAATTTTCTTACTGAAGGAGGTAAATCCGCAGCTGGAGAAACCTGAAGTGGTGTCGTAGGAACACTGCGACCAGTTCCACCATCCTCCAGCTGTGTCAGGTCCATTCTACTATCATCCAGACTTTCCTGGACAACAGTGGAATTGGTTGAACCAAAGATCCTAGTGTTAGAACCTGTGGGTGTTGTCAAAGACGGTGTCGAGGAAGCTGTCGTAGGTGCCGAAGAGTCTCCAAAAGTGAAACGCCCTTGCGGCACCTGCGGAGAACTCACAGCTTCACCGAAACCATCGCGACGAGGAACAAAGAGAGTAGGAGTACTTGGTACGATACAGTCGTCACCGCCATCTTCGTAACCTTGTTGTGGCTTTGGGGAAAAAAAATTACGATAAAAAATTGGATGTAAACTTTTCAAAATTTAATAATTAAAAATATCATACAGGTATTTTAAATCAAATACCAACCAAAAGAAGATGCTGCTGTTGCTGCTGTCTGGGCATGGGTGCGATTCCTCTAGAGGACATGGCTGTGAAAGACGTGGCGGGTTCAGCGGTTGGTCCAGCGCTACTTATGGCTTCAGATTGTTGCTGATTTGCAGGAATAATGGCTTGGCCTTGTCTAGAGATTTCAACACTGGTAGAATCCTCCTCCATAATAATTTCCACCTCATTATTGTCTCGTTCAACCTCAACTTCGACTTCATAAGGCATTTCTTCCTCTTCCTCTATCTCTTCATACGTATCATTGTCAAATTCCTCCTCTTCCTGTACTTGATGATTGCCTCCACCTTCACCTTCATCACAGTCCACCACTACTACGCATCCTTCTTCTACTTCTTCGTCTTGATCCCTCTGACTTGACGTAGGCACCTGAAGCGTTACAATGATTATCAATATGAAAATATTAAATCAATATTAGAAAGAGTTAAAATATTAAAATATTAAAGAGTTAAAATACTTTGAAACTAAATTACAGATAAATACAATAGAAATGTAAACTGTTTTTCTTTTTATACCCTCAATCTCACCTGATATTCCACTTCCGAAGCGCTGGCACTCGCAGTTGCGCTGATATCCGGTCTGGTCCTCTTCGTTTTCGGACTCTGTACTTGCTCCTGACGTCCGTGATCCAATCCTTCAACTATCCCGGAACCAGAGGCGGTTGAGTCTCGGCCTCGAGGTCTCTTGAGTCCCGTGGAAGCTTGAGAAGTACTGACTGACTGAGTGGAGCTACTCGCCACTGTCTGTTGCTGATCGCTGACAGTAATCTGTTGCTGCTGTTGCTGCTGCTCCACTCTAGGACTCACGAGCGCTACTGTTTGTTGCTGTTGTTGTTGCTGCTGCTGGCATTGTTGTTGTTGCGGCTGCAAATTAAGTGTCTCCGCACTTTCTGGGTCTTCTCTCTGCGTTGACTCCGCTGATTCACTTAACTGTGGTTGTACCACCAACTGACGAAGACTACTGGTTTGTGCACTTTGTGAAGAAGTACTGGTACTTGCTGGCTGGAAGTCGGTCAAACTGCTAGTCGGCGAGCTTGTCTCTGTAGTGTGCACTACCTGTTGCTGCATCTGATGCGGCGCAACCATAACCGGTGCACCAGCTGTAGTCGGTAAGACGGCAGCTGTCCGCGATTGCACCACCACACTCATTGGTCTAATGCTGGCCAATGGTGTTTCCGCTCTGGCAGACATTGGTTTAATATTCGCTGTTGGTGGCTCCGTAGTCGCGCTTACCCCGCTTACTCCCGATAATTGTCTTTGGAGTTGAGCAACCCGCTGCAAAAGCGCTTCCTTTTCTGCCTGTACCTCTGATTTCTCGTGTTCCAATCTAGATATGCGACCTTCCATCTGTGATTTCAGTGCCACTAATCGTGCATCATGCTCCGTATCAGAATCTCCTTGAACTACGGCGCTGCCTCCCGTAGATTCTATCCTGGATTTTAGATCCAATAATTCTTTCTCGCAGATCTTCTTGGACTCTGTCAATTGCATAATCTTCGTTCTAGCGCCCTTAAGCACCTGTTTCGCCCTTTCTTCCTTTTCTATACTGTTGCGATTCATGGCCTCGATTTCTTTTCTCAGATTATCAGATTCACTTTGAGCTACTACCATTTGGCGACTTACCTCATCTATCTTCGTCGTAAGCTCGATGTTCGTTTGGCGAAGTTCCTGACGACCTTCCTCTCGCAGTTGATCTTCACGTTCTTGTGCTGCCACACCGGAAACATCCTCCTCATTTCTGGTTTCCTCATTGCGATTCTTCTCTTCCTCGACGCTTTTCGCGAGTTCCTCAAATTGCGTTTTATACTTTTTAGCTATTTTGCGGATCTGAATTTCCTTGTTTTTAACGTCATTAAGAATGGCATCCTTATCGCTTAGCTCCTTCCTAAGGGAAGCCAAATCCTTTGCTTTTGAAGAAGAATCGGCTAGTGCCTCGTTAAGCTCCTGACCCAGCTTGCGAACCTCTTCTGATGCTCGCGACATATGTTCATCTTGAGTTTGTATCTGTCTTTGCAATTGCGTCAGTTGCTCCTCGAGTTTCGCCTTCTCTGTTTTCACTTGATTAAATTCTTCAGTTCCCTTTGCATGAGTTTCCCTCTCTGACGTCAACAATTTACTCAGGTTTTCTCTTTCAGTTTGAAGTCGTCGCCAGTCTTCAGGGCTAGCCTTATTCGCTCTTTCTAATAACGTATTTGCTCTTTGCCTCCATCTGGTTGCCTCGCCTTTCAAGCTAGTGTTTTCTTCCATCAAAGCTTCTGTTTTGTAGTTCACTTTGATTGTAAGTTCGTTGACTTTCACACTGAGACTATCTCTTTCTTCCCTGAGGATTCGATTAGAATCCGTGATGGCGTTTAAGGTTTCCACCTTGCGTAGCAATTCCGCATGCTTGGACGTGGTCATCACATTGATCTCGGACTTTTCTCGCTCGGAATTTAGTGAAGTTTCAGTTTCCTTCAACCGCTTCTCCACTACCTCTATCTGTGATTTTAATCTGAGATTTTCAGCTCTAAGAACATCGGTTTTGGCTATGGCCAAATCCTTCTCTCTTCTTAAATATTTCATAACTCTTAACAATTGTTCAACCGATTTGGAGTCTTCCTCCAAAGAACTGAAACTCTTATTTAGAGCTTCTAGGCTGGTATCAGGACTGTCTCTTCCGCCGCTAATTTTTGTCTGCTGACTCTGCATAATGGCTACTCGGTCACCCAATTCCTGAATCTGATTGTGCAGAAGTGCATTCTGCGTATCAAGATCCATAATTCTTTTTTGAGTTTCTTCGACCTCATTCATAAGCTTCTGTTCTCTTTCTTTTGAGGCAGATTTCTCAACTTCCAAAGCTTGCACTGCTGCATTTCGTTCTAGACTCAGAACATCAAGTCGCTGTTGAACTTGTTGAGCTTCCTCTTTCAATTTTGTCAAAATCTGCAAAAACATTTATGTAAAGAACTAGTAAACAAATTCATATAAATATATTCCTTCGTTATTAAACTTACCTGCAAATCAGACGAATGCTGCAGCATTTCTCTGATGTATTTGTCTTCTGCTTCTTTGACTGTGACAGAGGCAGACTTCAGATCTGCCTTTAACAATTCCAATTCACCCTTCAACTCATCGAGTTCTTCGACCTTTCTCTCAGCTTCAGCCAATCTATCCCTCAGTTCCGAATCGGTTTCTTGCCTACCATTTGATATCTTCGCCAAATCATCACCCAGTTCCTTTACTCTTTTTTGCAATGAAATGATCTCCACACGCGATTCTTTAAGAGCATTCTCCAGCTCTTCTTTATATTTATTATATTCGGTTGTCAACTCTCTCAACTGCGTTTCAACGCTCTCTGCGATGTCACAATACTGCTGACCTTGTTGTCTAGCTGCCCTTAACTGTTCGGAGAGCGAATTTACTTCAACCTGAGAGGTACTCAATTGTATTTCCAACTCTTTTACCCTTTTCACAAGACCTTCATCTCCTGTCAAGGGTTTAGTGATGGAATGGGCAGCTACTTGTCTTAATTTAGTGTTTAATTCATCAATTTTTTTACTACTCTGAGTTTCAGTCTCTCTTGCTTGATCTAACTCCATTCTCAACCTCTCACTTAATTCGCGTTCTTCTTTCAGTCTTCCTTGAGCAGTCGTCAACTGTCTCTCTAAATGAGCCGCCAATTCTCTAAAGCGATCCTGCTCTTCCTGAAGACGACGTCGAAGAGCAGCGCATTCCCTGTTGGCGTCATCGAATCTCTGCTCGGCCCTAAGCTGTCCTTCAGCCTGGACTCGCTCCAAACTAGCCTTAATAGACTCCATATCTGCTTTAAGCAATGCTTGAGTCTGTCTTTCTCTTTGGTAAACTTCCCGCTCCTTTAGGAGACGTCCCTCAGTGTCTCGCAAAAGTTGACGTTCCTGACGAAGATTTTCTAGTTGAACTTCCGCTCGAGATAAGCGAGTTTGAGCGGCGAGCGTTTCGTCTTTCAGTATCATAATACTTTGCTCATGTTTGCTAATGGTGATGTTGTAATTGGTGCATTTCTCCTCAAGTGCCTTGATCTGGGACTTGTATGAAGCGACATTACCCTGCAAAAGTGAGAATCTCTCATTCGCCGAGTCCAACTGCGCCCTCAGTCTGCAACATCTCGCCGAATTCGATTCTGCCTCCTTTCTAAGTCTTTCAACTTCTTCGCTCAACATCTTTTCATGGGCAGTTCGTTCTTTGCGATATATCTCGTATTCATCTGAAATATGTTTAAATTGATCTTCGGTCTCCTTTAATTTTTTGAGCAACTTTTCTTTTTCTTCGTCACTTTTCGTTGTCTTTGACTCCTCTTCTGATTTGGATTTGCCATCTTCGATATCTTTGTCCATTTCCTCCTTCTTCTTTCCACCGGAATTCTTCATCTGTTGATACATGTTTTTGTACATGTCTCTCTGTTTTAAGAGACTATCCAACATCTTCGACTGCCTATCTTGCGCAGCTTGCATCTCTGTCAATTGTTCCATGTAACGATCCAGCTTCTCTTTCATTTCGCCCGAATTTATTTCATCAGTGGCCCGCTCCATTTCTTCTTGTCTGGACGATAATGCGCGAACAATTGCTAAGAGCTTTTGGTTGTTCTCCTGCAGTTCCTCGATATCTTTAAACGTCACCAACTTTTTACTAATGATTTGCGATGACGAGATGTCATCTGTGTCTATGGAAGAAGACAAATTTCTAGTTTCCACGCGAGTGTTGGTGCGGCTTTCTTGGACTTCTTTGAGCAGATAACAAACCTAAAAAAGCCAAAAAATTTTTCATAATTATATATCACCTAAATGTGTTACTCTTAAATTCTAGTTTGTTGTGTAATGACTCACTTGTCTAGCCAAGTCGGACAATTCAGTTTTCAGCCTTTGATTTTCTGTAGAGTGATGCTTGGCAAGACGATTAGCCTCATCGGAATTTTCATGAAGACGTTGATTCTCTGCGAGGAGGTCGTCCAGCCTGTTTGTTAACGTCGTAATATTCGCCATAGCCGTTTCATAATCTTGACGCTGTTGTTGCAGTAACGGCGCCTTCTGCTCCAGTTCGCGAAGAATTACATCCATCTGAGATTTCAAACGTTCATTTTCTTCACGCTCCAAATTTAAGTCATTGGTGACTTCGACTAGTTGGGTGTAAATCTGCGTGAGGCTTAAACCTTTTCTTAACACTCGACTGGTTACAGCTGCTGCCGGTGCCAATTGTTCTACCGCTTGATTTAATTTCTCTGCAAAGTTTGTACAAATTATTATAAATGAAATACATCAATAAGAGAAATAATTAAGAAGAATATGATACACACAGAAAATCAAATATATGTTACCAGCATTAATGTATTGAACATGACAAAGAATTAGATATGCGACCCACCTTGTTGGATATTCTTCAGCAATTCATTAGCATTTTCTAACTCTTTCGTCAGTTCCTGGATATTTTGCTCTTTGTCATCAATATCTTGTTTGTGCTGGAGCAGTAATTGATTGTACTTTGTCTCTAAAGTTCCATATTCTTCTGCGGTGCTATCCACAAGTTTTTGTAGCTCGCTCGCTGCATTAGAAAGTGTCTCGGCTTTAGCATTGGCATCATCCTTCATCGACTCGTATAAGCTAGCTAAATTTTTCTGCGCATTGATTTCTTTTTGGTAGGAATCGTTTATAGCGATTTCGTGGGCACGCTGTTGTTCCACCTTCTGAGCCAGTTCATCGGATTGTTTTTGAAGAGCAGAAACAGATTCTCGCAGTTGAGAATTGGCTTCATTGGCTATTCGCAATTCTTCCTCGCGCTGGGATAATTTAGTATCAATTAAGAGAGCTCTGGCAGAGGCTTCGGATCTTGCTGTCTGAAGTTCAGATGTTCTTTTAGCTAGCTCTTCTTCGAGACTTGCCATTTGTTGGGAGAGAAGCACTCGTTCTTGCTCCAGTCGTTTCTCTCTACATATACATATGATTCAAATGAAAAACATTTTGTATGTATGATTAAAGATATATTCTTATATATTATATATATATAT